TTCGGTCTTCCACGTTTAGAGCGGCATTCTCCAAGAGAGCACCCCTTCTTTTCACACAAGATGGGAAATGAGAGAAATCAGAACTCCTCCGCTTAAACTGGGGACTACGACCTTTTATACTTTAAGTGTATTTCTTTTATTTCAGCCCATCATTAAAATAAAATAAATACCCGGCCTCTACACAAATTAATTCCATCCATACAAAATTTAATTGAGATGCCACATAAGCCAAATAATAATTTAATACTCAAATAGATCACAAATTTAATTGGCTTAATTTTAGATAGCGTCTAATGTATAATTCTTTATTTATATGTATAAAATATATTGGCCCACATATAGAAATTTCCCAACAATCTCCCACTTGAGCCACATATATATATATACATATAATTATACATTCTGAAATAACTGTAAGAGCTCAATTTTGCTATCTTTCTAAAATAACATCTCTAGACAATCTGGTCCATCAATCATATCAATATAGAATCAAAGCGACATTTGTTACATATTTCGTAACAAGACCCATCAATGGTCACTATGTTGACATAATTAACGACATAGATCAAGTATAGATGTGTAGCATGAAAATTTCATGTAATGTGATCTCAAATCATGACTATTCTCAACTGGTCCAATTTTATAACTCAAAAGAGTTATAACCAAAATTCTATACTTTATGCTAAACTGCAATTGAAATCAAATAACTGTATTTCAGAGTTTTCAATCACCAAAATAACAATACTTTAGTCTGATCAGAAATTAAGTTCATAATAATTGAACTATACAATAAACTCCCACTAAGCTAACATATCATCAAAATAGATTACACCCATACGAGCCACATGCTCATGAAATACTTTAGGTGGTAATCCTTTTGTAAGTGGGTCTGCAATCATAAGGTTTGTACTAATATGTTCAATATAAATCTGAAAACTCTGAACTCTTTCTTTCACAACAAGAAACTTTTGTTGACCTCGATTTTGTCCAGACATGGGCATGACAGGTTGAGTTGACCAAGTCAACCTTTGACTTGGTCAACCCAAGTCTTAATGGGTCAAAATTGACCCATTAAGCCCCTTTTGGGTCCAAATCAAATTCAAACTCTTTCATGGCTCAAACCCAATACCCATTAGACCTATTTGACCGAGTTGACCAAGTTAGCACATGACTTGGTCAATCCAAGTCATAATGGGTCAAATCGACCCATTAAAACCCATTTAAATCCTTATTAAGAGCCTAATCAATGCCATTAACTCCTCCCGTATTTTAAAGAAATCCGACTCAGCAATTAAATGGGTTAGAATTCAATATCCGAAGTACATATTTTTTAAACAGGTCTAATTAAACTCAGATTTTGTTCATGTAAAAGATATATTTAACTTATTTTGCCTTAGTAACTGGGTTAATTATTTGTTCTAAAGTTGATCATTGTGAACTCCATATTCTTCAATTATACTCATCATATTGATTTTTCTCATAAAATTTGTTATCGCAAAGAAAATTGCTTCTATATTATGCTTTACCTCAAACGGAGCAGTGATTAGCTGAAGGTGATAATTACCGTAATATTTTTAATTAGTAGCTAATTTTTATATAGCCATTCGTTTACCAAAATGATCGTTTTGTTAAAAAGCTCATTATTTTAACATTAGAGTATTGGGTGGACTCACGGTCTAAGCGGACTATCGTTTGGACGGTCGGCACCGTTGGCTTTTGCTTTTATATAAAGTATTAAATTATCGTTGCGCGGGATTGCGGCACGAAGCAGACGTCTGAAAAAGTTCGCGGCACATTAGCTGCTTTCTCCCGACCTTTCTTCCCATGGCCCCCGGTCCTTCTAATTTTTGCGACAAAATGAGTAAATGCCGCGAAGAACTATTGCGCGATCTTCTAATGTTCCGCGGCACATAGCTGATCCTATCTGCTCTAACCAATTCTTCCGCCTCTCTATCTCATTAATGTCAACTTTACTAGAATGCATCAAATCCGTGTCTTCCTCACTTCTCCGCCGCCCTTATAACGTGATGTGCGTGGGTGCGTAACGCACCTACGATGTTCTTTCTCTGTGGAAACAAATGAACCCTCGTAATGAGAGAACAGAAACCATCGTACCCCGTGCTTCCGTCAAACTTTCACCTCTTCATCATCTACTCTTCGCAACAAATGCTAGCTTCGTCTCTCATCCCTCTGCAAGTCATCAAGCGCAAAGCACAGCAAAGCAGCGCCATCAGCATCAGCAGCAGAATCAGACGAACCAGTCATCCTGCTATATGATGACGCATCCAGTGACGGCGAACCCTTTGCCGCCGTCCGCACAATCAGTGGGGAAACCCAGTGACACTTAGCAAAGCTCCACCCATTCTCGAGAACCACTTCCTCTTTCCGCGTTTGCTCGAATTCCTTCACTTTTCCACGACCCTTCGTCCGCCGATGAGCGTCCACTTCTCCGCGCGCCGCCGACTCATAAGAAAATTATGCACACAACATTCTATTCAACGTATTTTCCTGATAATAATTTTTAAATAAACATATGAAATGAATGGTTTATTATAAAATAATAATTGAGACGCAAAAGTCTGAAGCAAATTATTTTGATATATGGTAGAAAAATTAAAGTCAAAAATTATAGATTTTCTTTATATAAAACTTAAAAAATTAATTTAAATATTTGAATTTGAATTTAGAACTCTACTCTCACGTTTGTTATCATAAATTAATAAACATTTATGTTTATTTAAAAAAAATTTCATGCTAAATATAGAAGGGTATGAAGGGTAATTCTTTATCATACAGCAGTCAGCACAAGTAGATCCGGTTATACTACCCAAAACAAAATTTATTGATATTTGTGCTACCAGCAAACTTTAATAAAATAATTTTCGTGGACAACAACTTCACAGAGCGCTGCTTACCAACTGCGAGCCGTCCCAAGAACAAGCCGTTAATCATATTGTGGTTTTATAATTAGTTTATATTCGCTAATTATGTTATAAGCAGCATGTTGTTTAATCAAGCTAAGCTTTGTTTGGGACAGTTTCCCACTGTTTCTTAAAGTATTGCTACTATACAAAATTAAAATTTTTATACTAAAAATTACTTTAAGAAGCGAGTAAGGAAAGCTATTCCAACCGACCCTAAATAAGAATAAGGAGTTTTATTCAAATCTTTTTGACTTTATAGTAGTTTGGTTAATATATTACTAATTGACATATGAATTTATATACTATCTAGTATTATATAGTATTAGCAGTTTTG